GAAACTGCAAATTCTAGCCCTATCCAGCAACCTCAGACTTACTCTTACTCTGTTCAGCTGCAGCTCATTGGCCGGTGTACCAAAAACCAGTCGCCAAACAAACAAACAAACAGCTATCACCAGCACCTGCAAATTCTAGCACTATCCAGCAACCTCGGGCTACATCGATCCTTATTCAGTTAAATGAGCACTCTCAAATTCTATCTGTTTTACCTAATTTAGGCTACCTCCAGGTTCTAGCTAGAACTTTAGGGTGCTTGTGCTATCTGGATATAGCATAATGTAGTCTGAGTTTGCCGGATAGGGCTATAATTTGCAGGTGCTAGTGGTAGCTTAACAAGTAACAACAATTAGTGGGTGTTGGTGGAAGCTAGATAGAGCAGGAAGTAGCATTCAGAGGTTGCTAGAAATAGCATGTTTCCTCTTCCTCAATGATCTGGAAATTTTTGAATGCAGCTGAGGCAGCCGGAAAGAGCCAGAATAAATTGTTGCTGGTGGTGTTATAAAAGGCAAGAGATAGCTTAAGTTAAGTTATCACTGAAAGCCCGTATTATAAACTGCTACAGTCCAACTAATGTCAAATCTACACAGAACCCACGCATTGCTGATGAGTTTTACTGTGAGCTCCAGGAAGCTATCAGAATTCCTGCCAGACATGAGCTTTTCATCTTGGGTGATTTTAATGCTAGGCTAGGGAAACGGACTAAATCAGATTTTGAAAGTGGTCTTCAAACTAACATGGGAAGACATGGTATTGGTCGGCGTAACGAAAATGGCGAAAGGTTGCTAGCTTTCATGATCACTAATGGACTCTATGCAACCAACACTGCATTTTCACATGCGAGTAGACACACCAACACTTTTACAGGATGGATTAAAGACCGTAGATCCAAAAAGTCTGTACCCTGGTTTTCTCAAATTGATTATGTTTTATGTAGATCTAGAAGTACCCCTCTGCTTGTTGACGCTAGGTCTTACGCTGGTGCAAAACTTCAATCTGATCACAAAATTGTAAAAGCAACTTTTGACCTCAGTAAACGTTACAAACTTTACAGTACTGCCAAACACAAAGTCAAGCAGTATAACACCAACTCATTGGTTTGTAGCAAAGATGCTCAAAGTTCTTTTCAACAAAATGCTGCTCAGAAGATTGAAACTGATACATCTGCCCAGTCAGTCACTGAAAGTTTTAACAACCTTTTCGAGGCGGTTAAAATTGCTGCATCTGAAACAGTGGGTATGAAAAGAAACACAGCCAAACGTCACAGAACATCAGACCCACAAGTCGTCTCTATGTCAGAAAAGAGACACCAATTACTACAACATTTAAACGACAACAAAATGCGTGACAGAACTATCCTGCGTAAGGAAATCAACAGACTCAAGAATGACATTGCAAAGCGCCTTATTACACTTGAAACCGCTCATGCCGACCTTCTAGCTGAGACGATCAACTCCACTGATGATACCAGAAGAATGTTCGAAGCAACCAGAGCAATTTCAAGCACAAAGGACACTCCTCCTATTTCAGTATTCCTACCAGAAACAGAAGAACTTGCTCTCAATGACGAAGATAAGGCAGACATAGTCAAGAACTGGTTCATGGAACATTACACAGGCCCAGAACCCCCACTAGAACCTTTTGTTGGAGCTGCTAAGCCATTAGATACGCCTATAACTGCACTTGAAGTTGAGACAGCAGCCAAGAAACTAAAGAACGGTAAAGCCGTTGGTCCTGACAACCTCCCTAACGAATTCCTTAAGTATGCACCTCCTTCTTTTTACATGAAGTTTGCATCACTTATCAATGAGTCCTTTGAAAAACAAGAGCACGTTCAATCGTTCACTGAGGGATATCTTACCCCCCTACAGAAGCCTGGAAAACCAAAAGGACCAGTTAAGAGTCTGCGTCCCTTATGCCTTCTCAATGGAACTAGGAAAATCCTTTCCATGATAACACTCCAGCGTATTCAACAACAGATAGCAGACTGCACTGGGCCATGGCAGAATGCCTATAAATCAGGACACAGCTGCTCTAATATTGTCTGGACACAAAGGGTTCTTATTTCTGTTGTCAAGGAGAAACATTGGGAGTTTAGTAAAATGGGGATAGACATGTCATCAGCCTTCGACACAATACATCGGTCAACTATCCTCAGGCTACTCGAAGATGCAGGATGCTCAGAAGATGACATAAGACTAGTTAGATATTAGATATATCTACTCGCTAACACCAAGCTCAGAATTAAGATCAAAAAGACGACATCGGGAGAGTTCGAAGTCACAATAGGAGCCTTTCAAGGTGACTGTTTGTCTGGCTCGCTGTTTACCATGTACCTAGCTGGAGCACTCTACCACCTTAGAGTTGTTGTTATACATCTACGCCCAAATCCCCCCATATCTGAAAGCTCCCTTCTTTTAGAATGGGAATATGCTGATGATGTGGACTTTGCTGATGAAGATGAGGATTCGTTACACCAGCTCCTTCCAATTTGCAAGGAAATTCTCTCAGAATGGAATTTGTTTGTAAATGAATCTAAAACCGAGTTTGTAAAGTGTTATCTGGCTGGAAGTAGTGAGAAGGACGAAAAAGGAGAACCTCTAAGAAATAGAGAACCTTGGAGGAAGTGTGTGTCCCTAGGCTCTAAGCTATGTAGTAAAGAAGACATACAGCATCGTATAATCCTTGGAAATGTTGCATTCGAAAAATACAAGAAAGTTTGGATGCAAGGATCTAAGATTAATCTGAAGACCAAGATTAAGATATACGAAGCATACGTTACATCTGTTATGCTCTATAACTGCAATAGCTGGGCTACCCCTCAGAACCTATTTGACAAACTTGATGCATGTCATAGAAGACACCTGCGTCAAATATTGAAGATGACTTATCCCATTATTATCAGTAATAAAGCACTATATGAACGCTGTGGTGTAACATCGTTGTCAGAGCGAGTGACATATGCTCGCTGGAAAATGCTGGGACATGTCCTTCGCAGTGACTGCTCATCACCAGCTCAGAGAGCTCTTCAATTTGCTGTTAATGCGTTATTTACCATGAAAGGTCGTGTTGGTCGACACCAAAGTAATCTTTTAAAGTTTATTATAAATGATTTGAATAAAAGAAACCTACCATTACGTGATATTAATGATCTTTATGATCTTAGGGCTACTGCCTCTAACAGAGTTTTGTGGAGAAAATTATTTACCTCATAATTAACCTCTTTTTTTTTCAGAGAACTGTTATGTTTTTTTGGGCACTTATCAGTCTCTTAACATGTTTCTTTACTATTTCGAGATTGTTTTAAAAGTTAGATAATAATAAGTTTGCTAGAAAGAGCAGAGGTTGGAGGGGCCAGGGGGCCTTGCAGTAGCAGCTAAATAGATGTAGCCAAAGTAAGTGAAAAGAGCTGGAGTTGGTGGTTTCTGCCCACTGGTGGTACCTGTATAGAGCAGGAGGTAGCATTCAGAGGTTGCTAGAAAGAGCTAGAATTATAACGTGCTGGTGGTAGCTGGGTAGAATAGGCATGGCATAGAGGTAGCAGAATTGAAGGAAACTAGAAGGAGATTCTACAACATGAGGTTGGATTGGAGGTGATTAGCCATAACAGCCAAACAGTACAGGAGAGAGCCCAAATTGTGGTAGATATAACGAGATAGTTAGATTTTCATGTATAAATTTTGGGATTGAAGTGGTTTGAAGTAACCAGAGAGATGGTTAGATGTATAAATTTGGGGATAAGATAAGATAGCTGGAAGGAGCTTCTGAAACTGAATTGTGTTGCTCCATAAATATTATCTGAATGTGTTCATGCTGAACATTTTGCTGTGCTGCAAGTGAAGTGTCTGTAAGACTTTTTTAGCCCGGGATACCAAATTTAAGTACATGTGTTACTAATTTAGGATGCACGAAAGTTAAAACAGTTTTTAATGAATATCTCAAAAACTAAGCACTATAAACCCTATGTTGCTTTATAGCTTGTAGATAAATGTGGCCTTTGCAGTTAGTTTGAGGTAAAAAAGAGGCCCTTACAACGTTCAGAAGCCGAGATACAAAAGTCATATATTTGCGCCTGAGGGTAATTTAGAAATTTCCCCCTAGGGTTGGGATTACTGATTGAAATTGCGTACCTTATCAATTCTGATCCAGAATGACCTTACAAAAGACCTGGTTTCTAGAAAAGTTGTAGACACCAAACTGCATACTCGATGTCAATAAGCTTCTAGAGTAGATTTTTTTCACTCTCGCCCCAGTGAAAATCGGTTTTTCTGGATTTATTCCAAAAGTAAGCATTTTGGGCCTTTATACCCTTCATAGTGCCAATATAAATATGTGCATTGCGGTCATTTTAAGCCAAAGTTTGAGTTTCTAAGACCTTCAGAAGCTGAGATACATATTTCCCATATATGCGCCTAATGTGAAATATGGGCGTGGCCCCCACAGGGTTGGGACTAGCGACACAAAATGTGCCCCTCGGTGATTTGAGTTACCAATGACCTAATTAACCCAATTCAGTATCAAAAAACTCTGTACATCGAAGTGCACATTCAACCCCTCCCTGCTACTAGAGTATAATAATAGCAGTTATTTCTGCAATTTAAGAAAATTAATTAAACTCATTAAGTTGTCACATCACTTCATATTTCACTCATTTTCTTATTAGTATAACGAACTCGCGAACACCTCACTATTTATAGCTACCTCCCTAAATTTAATCAGTAAAAAACGATCACCATATCCCTGCTATACTAACATTGTTTATACTCCCTGTAAATTTAGTTCCCCTTCAACTTCCTTCAAACGTATTGAAACAACTGCACCATTTCAAACATCCATTTTAATAAACCTTACAAAAATTCTCTCCGCCAGAAAATAGGGTCAGTCTATCTACTCCAATAATAATACCTCAGTTCGTTGAAATGCGCCGTGTGTGTCATGTAAGCTAGTAACCCTAATAAAATTAGCCTCTTCGCTGCCCTGTGTTTTTGTTGATCTAATTAGTGTTTGCGGTAATGTGATTAGGGGGGTCTCTAATGAGTTCTAATTAGTAATATGATACTGTTAATGTTATTCGGACACGTCCCACACACACTGATAGAGTCTGTGTGTAGGATGTACATGTTTGGGTGAAACTGGGAACTAATTTGCTTGTAGGGGGGGGGGGGGGGGGCTACCTCGTGTCGTTATTGTTGTTGCGGTGTAAAATGTGGGAGGTAACGTGGATTGTTCTGGAGCTTGAGGTGAATTTAGAGGGGGGATGGAGTTGGGGTGCACAGTTCTGTTCTGAGTCTGAGATTTTAGGGAAGTTAAATTGTGTGTGTCTAATTTAAGTTATATGTAAGTAGTGTATACGCAGTAATGTCCTGGTTTGGTAATACTAATAGCGTAAATGTAATGTAAATATAAACTATTTAGCAAATACACACTATTTGGTATTTACCCTAACCCATAGAGCTTTAAGTTGAACGGAGAATTGCAAACTGACGTATTGAGTAATCACTATGAAGAACCACCATGTCATTTTGTAAGCTAAACAGCAAATATTCAAGCCGATGATCGGTTATACAAGGTATATAGTAGTGAATTAGTGAAGTTGCGGGAGTGTTGTTGTCTCGGTTTGTGTTTGACACTAAACAGCTGTCAGCCAATCAGCAAATCCCAATATGTCATATGTGGCAGCGACCTGTTCATTTTGAGGTTATTCTGAGAAGAGAGAGAAAGAGAGAGAAAGAGAGAGAGAAAAAGAGAGAGAGAGAGAAAAAGAGAGAGAGAGAGAGAAAAAGAGAGAGAGAAAGAGAGAGAAAAAGAGAGAGAGAGAAAAAGAGAGAGAGAGAGAGAGAGAGAGAGAGAGAGAGAGAGAGAGAGAGAGAGAGAGAGAGAGAGAGAGAGAGAGTCAAAGAGAGGGGGAGAGAGAGAGAGAGAGAGAGAGAGAGAGAGAGAGAGAGAGAGAGAGAGAGAGAGAGAGAGAGAGAGAGAGAGAGAGATAGAGAGAGAGAGAGAGAGAGAGAGAGAGAGAGAGAGAGAGTCAAAGAGAGGGGGAGAGAGAGAGAGAGAGAGAGAGAGAGAGAGAGAGAGAGAGAGAGAGAGAGAGAGAGAGAGAGAGAGAGAGAGAGAGAGAGAGAGAGAGAGAGAGAGAGAGAGAGAGAGAGAGAGAGAGAGAGAGAGAGAGAGAGAGAGAGAGAGAGAGAGAGAGAGAGAGAGAGAGAGAGAGCGAGCGAGCGAGCGAGCGAGAGAGAGAGAGAGAGAGAGAGAGAGAGAGAGAGAGAGAGAGAGAGAGAGAGAGAGGGGGGGAGAGAGTCAAAGAGAGGGGGAGAGAGAGAGAGAGGGGGAGAGAGTCAAAGAGAGGGGGAGAGAGAGAGATCCTACATATAGATATCATCAATAATTATATCATCTCATTTCAGCTTCCTACTTCTCACATTTAAAGTGGGTGATTAGCGCATTTCCGCACAGTCTTCGTTTAAACAATAATACTCTATCAAACAACAAACACTATTAGAATTAGAATTAGAATTAGAATTAAACAATAATTTAAAAAAGCTTCAAACTGCTGTGCAGGACATTCAAGTCAGTCAAAAACTGTTAGAAGAATAACCTTCTAAGGACATAGAATCAAAACATATAGTATGTAATATTTAATAAGTTATAATAAGCTAAAGAATAGTATAAGAAACTGTCTGCTTCGTTAATCCTCTTCCTAACTCTCCCTACTGGAGGTTACTGCCTCCCCACACATAACGCACCGGTTTACTACCACACTAT